GATGCTCAACTGGAAACACAACCATACCCACTGATCATACATCTGCAACATGGTCTTTTTGTATTCTTGATTAGTTGGTGGACAGACTGCTAACAACTCAGAGACAGATTAGAGTAGGACTGTTGTATACTACCATAGCCAGTTCTATCTAATGCTGCTGTAAGTGAACCAATCAAGATACATCTAGACTATGTTGACAATCTGTTGTGAATGTTGTAGGCTGCCACTTGATCGGTAAAGTAGGGGACCTGCCGGACACAACTATTTTTAGAAAATTAGGTGCCGGTCAGACACATGCTGTGGTAGGACTCCACTAGGGGGTTCTAATGCTGATAGTGTTTGCCTAACTCATGAGCGGATCAGACAGCGATGAGGGGAGAGAGGACAATGTGAGACTTACACGTTCGGGAGCACTTAGGGGCCCGCACGTGTTCCAGACCCTACAACCGGGAGAAGAAGCACGGCTTCGTGCTGAACGTAGAGCCCATGCTCTTGTAGCAGCGAGGGCAGAAGCGAACCTAGCAGCTAGGGAACAGGCTGCTGCAGCAGGCAGAGCAGTAGCAATGTCTAGCGCAGCGGCATCCTCTGCTGCATCGTCCGCTGTATCCTCGTCAAGGACCCATTTGGGTATGCCCACAGGGTCCACGGGTACTTCCAGTTCAGTAGGTTCTCGACAGTCTACAAGTCAAATGGCGGGCTCGCAGTTCAGCCCGTTGACCCCGCGCGAAAGGGAGCTTCTAGAGCTCCAACAGGTCGAAAGGATCCATGAACGATTAGAGAGGGAACTAAAACAGGCAACCGATAGAGAAAGAGAAATTAAAAAAAGAACAGCCAGGCTTGAAACGTTAGAGACTGACAAAGCTGAGTTAGAGGGTTTGGATGAGTCAGGATTGTCACTGCATGCGCATGTGGACAGCCGATTGGACTTTATGCAAAACACTCTAGACCAGATCCTGGACATTTTGCAAAGGCCAGGATTTAGGCCACCAGCACAGTCGCGGTTGCTGTTAACGGCGATGTTAGGCCCCTTTCCCGTACAAGCTGGCACACAACCAAGTGGTACGTCTGCAGCAGTCTCACAGACTGTTGCTTCTTCTTCTTCGGGTCCAGCGGTGGGAGCTACACCACCGCAACAACCTGTTCTTCAGCAAGGACAGACGCAAGGTCTATGGTACCCTAAGACCCCTATGAAACCGCCTCTCGCCTTCTCAGGCGAGAAGAAGGACGAAGAACTCAACACTTGGTTGAGAACAGTTCCGGTTTGGGTAAAGGCGAAGAGGACTTTGCAGGAGGAGGAGGTGATTACTGCCACATCTTACCTTGAGGGTAAGGCAGCCAAATGGCTGGATGGTGTAGTTACAAAGGTCGGGTATGGGAGACACATGGCGGACTGGGCTAAGTTTCTTGCGTTATACCAGTTCTTGGAGATGGTAGAAGCTCGCTGGCACAATCCTCAGCAGGCGCAATTGGCCACTGATGCGATAAACAGACTAGACCAACGAAAGTTTAAGTCAGTCAGAGAACTTACGACTACCTTTGAAAGCCTAATCGTCGTTCCTGGTATCAACTACGATAACCAGTTCTTATTGATAACGTTTGTGAGATGTCTCCCAGAGAATCTCATAAACTTGCTGGCCAGCGAGGCACGCCTCGAGACATTGTCTAGAAAAGCCTTAGATCTAGAGGCCACTCTAGGGAATGCTCAACCTACTCAGAATGACACGAGGAAGAAGAAGAGTCCGCAGGAATGGAAGAAGAAGGGGGCTAAATTAATGATGGTTGAGTCCGATGGGACTCAAACAGAAATTAATGAGCTCACAGACCAGCTGGAGATTTCAAAGTTTGACGGCGAGAAGATCGCTGAGGGTAGCACCCTCGCCGCAGTAGTCAAGGCTAAGGCGGGTGGCCGAGGGAAGGGCCATCCAACGAGTCAAGGGAAGGCCGCCTCCAATCAGACCAAAGTGGCTGATTGGGTCAAGGCAGGTCTTGATCAAGACGTGTGGCGGGACCGCCGAGTGCGTGGCGCTTGTATAAACTGTGGTGAATACGGACACACCCAGTACAAGTGCCAGAACGCAAAGGTCACGCAGAAGATACCTCCTAAGATGGGGGCATCTTCTTCCCAGGCTTCTAGCTCGGGAAACACGTGAGGCCAGTGGAAGTTTTAGTTGCTTCTACTCATGGTGAAGTGGGCCCGATACCCTCCCCACTTCCTGAGATGGCCATAGCTAATGACTCTTTAGTCACCCCGCAGACTCATCCAGACCAAACTATGCTTTGTACGTTGGATGTGTCTGAAGCCTTAGAAGATCTGGAAAGCGAGTGGTCAAACAAGGACCCTTGTGAATCTTGGGTGGCACTAAGGAAGGGTCCTAGAGGGGAACATTTCGTGGTGGAAGTTGATGTAGGAGGCCGCAAATGTGGTGCCTTCATAGACATTGGC